TGCCATGCCCCCCCCCGCGTGCGCGGCTAGCCATGACCCCCCAGACGCGGTCTTCTCGCTGGGCCACCTGCGGGCGAGGGAGTGCAATCCGGTGCGGCGAGGGCACTCCATCACGGTCTTTTCGCTTTCCGCCCCAACTCCTAGTTCAACACCGTTCCAGCTTCTCGCCGATTCCGGCTCCGCGCCGCATGTTATCCGGCTGACCCACGCTGCCACATCGATCAGAAGGCGAGAACCCATCCCCACCCCCAGTCCCGACTCCCATCCGCGAGCCTGCGATTCAAGGGGTCGGGACTGGGGGTGGGGGCGTCTCTCCTTGCTTCGACACCAGACAACGACCTCCCCGCCCCGCCCCGACCCCCTGGACCGCGGGTTCGGGGATGGGGTCGGCACTGGGGGGGGGTCGTTTTCTCGATCTAGTCAAGTCCTTTTGCGACCTCCTCCGTTTTCCTTTTTTGTTCCGTCTGCAGTTCTATTGGAAGGCCGTTAAAACGATGGACTGACTAGAGTGTGAGAATGTGAGAATATGAGAATGTGCAAGCGAGGTGCTGTGCGAGCACGTGAGAATGCGCGTGCGAGAATACGAGAAGGCTTGCGGCAGCCCGCACAGGGCGCGCCTCCGCGCACGCCGCTCCTGTCCTGTCCTGTCCTGTCCTGTCTTCCGTTTTCCTTCAAACGGGCACCCGCTCGAGAGCTTCGACGCGCGCCTGCGCTTGCCCACCACGTCCCCGGGCGCGCCACGGGGGGGAAGGGGGGGCAGCAACCGTGTCGGCACACCCTCGCCCCTCCCGGCTTACGTCTTCTCCCTCGCTCTCCTCCTCCTCCTCCTCCTCCTCTCCCCCTCCTCCCTCCCTCCCTCTCCCCCTCCCTCCCTCCCTCCCTCCCTCCTCTCTGCCTCCCTGCCTCCCTCTCTCCCTCCCCTCCCTCCCATCAGGGCGACCAGGTGGGGATACCGGTACCCCCCCTTTGAAAGAGCTCCCTGAAGCTTCATTGGGCCTGGTGAAACCTACCGGGGCCTCCTAGGATCTCTTGGGGCCTCTTGGGACCTCCCGGGGCCTCCTCCAGCCTTTCTAGACCTTGTGCCTCTTGGGACCTCCCAGGATATCTTGGAACCTACTGGGGTGTTCTGGGGGTCTGGTGGGGCGTCCTGGAGCCTCCTGGGGCCTTCTGGAACCGTGTAGGCCCTCTGGTATTCCCTGAGACTCGTGGTGGTGCTCTTTCGCTATACCCATACATTGCTACGTGCATGCTAATAATAATATGGTTATAAATATGTGTATACATACGTACATGTGTATATATATATATATATATATATATACGATGCCATTTGGGCACGCTTCGGTGTACTGATGACGATATCGAGACCATCTTGGGGGGGATAGCCCCAAAAACGGTTGTAGGATGGACGTGCTCAACGCGGTGGTGATGATGCACGTGCACTTGCGGTGAATTGTCAGAGTGGCCGTCGCGCCACGGGTCTCCGTTCGGCGTCGACGAAGCCGCCGCGGACGTCGACGCGAGCGGCGTGAGGTGCGCAAGCTGCGGCGGCGGCGCCTTGACCGGCGGCGTCTTCGCAGGGGGCCCCGCGCAGCTCGCCGCCGGCGGGGCGGCCGCGTCGAGCTCGCCAGGCCCTCTGCGCCAGCAGCATTCGAAGGCGTGCTGGGCCAGGACCATCGCCACCGCGACTGCCATGACGCGAGGCGCCACAGGGGGCCTGCGCGCGAGCGGGCGAGGTCTTCCCGCGAGCGGGGCCGAGACTTGAGCCGAAGCGCTGCAGCAGTCCTGCAAGGAGCCCCCAGAGGCTTCCGAGAAGCCCCAAGAGCCCCCCCAAAGCTCCGATGCCCCCAAGAAGCCCCCCACAGATGCACCCCAAGAGCCCTCCCTCCAGGAGGCCCCCAAGAATGGCTCTGGATCACGTTCTCGGGCGGCAGCGGAATGGCGAAGGCTTTTTGAATAAGTGAGCCAGGGCCTGCGCGTTCAGAGGACCGTCGGTTCACTTATTTCTGGCGCCCGCAGGCGCCCAGAATGCGCCCGACATTGACAACGGTCAACACCACGACCACAACATGTACGAGTTCATGCAGCAACACGAGCGGAAAGACAAGTCCCCGGCGAAGAACCAATCGCGAAGCAGACGCTGCAACACCGAGTTGCGGGAGTTCTTCTCGGCGTCGCTGCCCGGCCCCTTCGGGGGGGCCGAGCACGTGAGGGTTGTTGTGGGCGCTGGCGAGAGGAGCGAGGCGGCCTCTGCTGGCGACGCGGACTCCCTGGCCGCGCTGGAACGGGCGTTTCCAGACCAACTCACGGACAGCGGCATGTGGCGCAGGTCATTCGTCGACCGCGTTCGCGAATCGCGCATCCAGCGGCCTTCGGCCTGCCGCGCCGAGGTCGCGGGCCTGACCCCCGCGGTGAATTTCGGGGATTTCCTGGGCATGCTTCAGGGGCTTCTCGGTGCATTTCTAAGCTTTCCTGCAGCGGTTCCTGGAGCTTTCCGCGCGCCGGGACTAAGTGAACCGACGGCCTTCGGAACGCGCGGGTTGCGGTTTATTTATTTAGGTGGTTTACGGGCGCGCCCGCCCCCCCCGCCCAGGGCCGTCTCGGTGCGCCCTGAGGCCCGTTCTCGGGGTTCCCCGCAGTTGCCCTGGGCCGCCCCGGGCACATTCTGGGTATTTACGGGCGCCAGAAATAAGTCAACCGATGGTCCGCCCGCCCGCGAAGGCGCCGCCTGTCAAGGCGCCGCCGCCGCAGCTTGCGCTTCTCGCGCCGCTCGCGTCGACGTCCGTGGCGGCTTCGTCGACGCCGAGCGAAGACCCGTGGCGCGACGGCCCTTCTGACAATTCACCGCAAGTGAACGCGCATCATCACCACCGCGTTGAGCACGCCCATCTTGCAGCCGTTTTCGGGGATATCCTTCCCAGGCTGGTTCCGAGATCTTCATCAGGCCGCCGAGGTGCGCCCAGAAGGGACCCCACATTATGCATATGGTTTTACATATACAAATACAAATATGTATAGTTGTTCGTATTCATATATATATATATATATAATATATATATATATTATATATATATATATTATACGTATACTTGTACATATAGGTTGTTGTTAGCATGCGCGCAGCAGTTCATGGGTATAACGAAAAGGGCAACACCATGAGTCTCAGGGAAGGTTACAGGGCCTGGTACGGTTCCAGGAGGCTCCAGGACGCCCCAGAAGACCCCCAAAACACCCCAGTACGTTCCAAGAAACCCTTGGAGGTTCCAAAAGGCACCAAAAGGCCCAATGAGGTTGGAGGAGGCCCCAAGAGGCCCCAGGAGATCCCAGGAGGCCCCAGTAGGTTACACCAGGCCCAGTGAAATTCCAGGGATCCGCAGCCCGGGCGGCCAGGAATCCAGCAACCTGCAGACCCCCCGACTTTCTACATTTTCCTGATGTTTCGATTTTCTTTGCATATCCAGAAACCAAAAACACACGCGCTCTAAGTTTTTATAGATAAGAATCAAACATTGAAGCTCCCAGGGGCCGGGGGATCCGCAGCCCCTGGCGGCCAGGAGCCCAGAAGCCTCCAGACCACCTGGATTTCAATTATTGAATCGCTTCGCTCATTCCGCCGGCCCGTGGGGGCCTCTTGGGGGCCTCTTAGGGCCTCCAAGAGGCTTCTTGGGGGCCTCTTAAAGCCTCTTGGGGGCCTTTTGAGGGCGTCTTGGGGGCCTCCTGAGGGCTCTTGGGGGCTTCTTGGGGCCTCTTAAAGGCCTCTTGGGGCTTCTTGGGGGCCTCTCAGGACCGAGGGCTCGAAATGTTGTTTCGTGCTCCCCTTTTGGGGCGCCTCTTGGGGCGCTCTAGGGACCCTCTTGGGCCGTCTTGGAGGCCTCTTGGGCCGTCTTGGGGCCCTCTTGGGCTGTCTTGGGGCCCTCTTGGGGGCCTCTTGGGCCCTCTTGGAGCGATCTTTGGGGCCTCTTGGGCCGTCTGTGGGCGTCGGGAAGCCGAAAAGGTGGAAACACCAAAGTCTGTCCAAAACCCATGGGGAAACAATGATTTTTGTATCTTGGGGCCCTCTTGAGAGTACTCTTGGAGGCCTCTTGGGGCGTCTGGGGGCCATCTTGGGCGTCTTGGAGCGATCTTGTGGCATCTCGGACCCTTGGTGTACCATCTTGGGGGCCTCTTGAGCGGTCTTGGCTCTTCTTGGGACTCTCTTGGCCCTTCTTGGGACTCTCGGGGACGTTTCGGGGCCCTGTTGGTGCGCTCCTGGAGCGCTCTGGGGGCTTCTCCCGGGACCTTGCCGGGGTACTTTTCGTCCGGGGACCCCCAGGGGCCGCCCCGCGCGCGCGAACTAGAAATACAGTGAACCAGTTACCGGAGATCTGAGCACGCCTCTGGCCCGGTGGGCCGGCGAATTCCTTTTCTTTATAAAAAGAACAATCGTGTTTTCGTAGTTTGTTTTTTTGGGGGTTCTTGTTGTTGACAAAAAATGAACTCCCAGGGGCCAGGGGATCCGCAGCCTGGGCGGCCAGGATTCAAGGGGGAAAAAACATGTGCGAAAACTTCACGAATTTAAATGTGTTTAAATGTTGTCCCATTGAACATCCAAACTTTCAAAATAAGTTCCCAGGGGCCAGGGGATCCGCAGCCCGGGCGGCCAGGACGTCAGAAACCTTCGGACGCCCCTCCCCTCCTCGTGCTCCCTCTGCCGGTGCCGCCGCCGCTGCAGCTCCTGCTTTACCAGCCTGGAACATATCCCCATCCCCATGCCGGGCACCTCCTCACCGCGATGCCAGTCTCAGGGATATTCCCTCCTCTTTTGAGGGCGCCTCCCTAGGATTGCCACCGCCCTTCGGCGTGCCGACCTTAGGGATAGGGAGAAGTCCGAGGCCGGTAGCTGCTCCCCCCCTCGCGCTCCCGCTGCCGCTCGGCGCCACGCGCCCGGGGCCGGTGCTGCCGCCTCCCCCACGCCGGGGGGCGCGCGCGCGCGGCCCCCGCGCGGCCGGGGGCGCGCCGAGGCCCGAGCTGCGCCGCGTGCTCCCCGGAGAGCCTCGGGGACGACTGCCGCGAGGCCATCCAGGCGCGGCGGCGCCCGAGGGCGGCCTGGCGCCGGGGTGGCCTTTCAGTCGGGGGAAGAGAAGCACACAGACACAATGAATCCTCGATTCTCCAGGAAGTATGGGAAAATACGGGCCGTGGGGGGGAAGACAGAAGCCCAGAAGATATGGGGAAATACGGGGGATATGTTTATTTGTGTGTATTTACTTGTGTGTCCCAGTTCCCCTTCCTTTCCGTCGGGGGTGACATTTCGGGCCAGACGACAGGGGGGGATTGGGAAAGGGGGGGTACGAAATTTGCTGCCTGCAGCTGGTTTCGGCCCTCACCGAGGGGCCCATTCCTCGATACATGGCCGTCTCCGGCGCCGGGAGGCGCCGGGAAAATCAGCTACGTGAGCTGATTCTCACCCCCCCCCCTTTGCTATCCCCCCCTTTCGCCCGACCCGAACCTTTCTGTTGGGGGTGGGCGGCCCTGCGACGGGGTGGCCTTTCTGTCGGGGGAAGAGAAGCACACAGACACAATGAATCTTCGATTCTCCAGGAAATATTGGAAATACGGGCCGTGGGGGGGGAAGACAGAAGCCCAGAAATATGGGGAAATATGGGGGATATGTTTATTTGTGTGTATTTACTTGTGTGTCCCAGTTCCCCTTCCTTTCCGTCGGGGGTGACCTTTCGGGCCAGACGACAGGGGGGGATTGGGAAAGGGGGGGTACGAAATTTGCTGCATGCAGCTGATTTCGGCCTCACCGAGGGGCCCATTCCTCGATACATGGCCGTCTCCGGCGCCGGGAGGCGCCGGGAAAATCAGCTACGTGAGCTGATTCTCAACCCCCCCCTTTGCTATCCCCCCCTTTCGCCCGACCCGAACCGTTCTGTTGGGGGTGGGCAGAACCCCAACGGGGACACGTCGATTCGTGAATTGTCCGTGTTCGGTTCTCCAGAGGGCGCCGTGGCCGTCGTTTCCCGGGCCTGCGCCCGCCAGGCTTGGGCCTGAGGTCGTTTTCGCTACACCACGGTTTACGAAAGGGAGGTCTGTCCATCCCCGATTCTGGTGCGGGCCCACAGTGCCCCCCCCCCCGACGAACACTCCCAGACAACATCCGTTGGTGATGTCGTGCCCGCCCATGCTGCGGCTGGCGCGCCTCGCGGGGACACGCTCCATCACCACGCTTGTTTTCCATTGTTTTCCACACCGACCCGTCAGAGCCCAGATCTGCTGGGAATGAGGGTGGTGCTGTCAATGTGCCTAATAAAGACGCGTGCCTTCGTCTAGGGCACCCTTGTGTCCTTGCCGCTGCGGCCCGTCCTTTGCCGTTCTCGCTGGTCGCCCGCCGCCCCAAAAATATCAATTTGTCGGTCTCCAAGGGTCTTGCGTCCTTGCCGCCCGTCCTGAATACACGTTTTGACTGTACTGGGGGGGACCATGTCATCCGCCTGGAGACCCACAAGGGGGCGGCGGACAATGAAACGGAGACGAAGAGGCAAGAGGAGTCAGATGAGGAGTCAGATGAGGAGTCAGATGAGGAGTCAGATGAGGATGTTGAGGCGATGGGGGATGGCCGCGACGGAGACTGATGTCCGTCCTCAAGGAATGGACGAGGCGGAGTAGAGGGGGAGGACGTGGAGGATGAGGACGCCATCTCGACCCCGTCCTCGGGGGCCCCCTTCAGCAGAGTGGCCCTCGCGCTTGGCCTTGGCCTTGGCCTTGGCCGCCCACCGATAAGGTCCCTCGCGGCTGGGGGTCGCTCTCTTGCGTGCGTGGCCGACATCGGCCACGCGCAGCGGGGGGCAGGGGGAGGGGGGAAGGCTTCTTCGAAGCACCCCCGCTCCGCGGAAGGAACGGGCCTCGTCCGTCGACGTAAGGCCCCTCCTTCTCCCTCCCCCTCCTCCTCCTCCTCCCTCCTCCCTCCTCCTCCTCCTCCTCCTCCCCTCCTCCTCCTCCTCCTCTCCTCCTCCCCTCCTCCTCCTCCTCCTTCCTCCTCCCCCTCCCTCCCCTCCCCCCTCCCCCCTCCTCCTCCTCCTCCTCCTCCTCCTCCTCCTCCTCCTCCTCCTCCTCCTCCTCCCTCCTCCTCCTCCTCTCCTCCTCCTCCTCCTCCTCCTCCCCCCAAGAAGCCTGCCGCCCTCCCCCGACCCCCCCCTGCTGCGCGCCGCCGGCGACAGGCGCGGGTGCGCGGCAAGGCCGCGAACGGCTCCGAGGAGGCGGCAGGCTCCGCCGCCGCGCGGAGGGGGGCGGGAGCCGCCGCGCCGCCGCCTGCCGCCGGCCCTCCTCTGCTCAGGAGGGAAGAAAGCACACAGACACAATGAATCGACGATTCCCCAGAAAATATCAGAACATACGGGCAGTGGGGGGAGACGAAAACCCAGCAAATATGGGAAAGTATGGGGAGGCTTTTTATTTGTGTGTATTTCTTTGTGTGTGCCAGGGTCCCTTCATCTGCTGCCTTCCCACCTCCGGCCGGGGCGTGCCCGGTCTGCGCGGACAGTGAGTGACTCGGCCAGACGCAAGAGTGACTTGTCGCCGGAGTGGCCTTCTGGTGCGGGCCCACCGGGGGTGCCCCCTCGATGGCCGAGCGCGAGGCGGCAGCGGCGTCCTGCGCGCCAACTTGGGGACCCCCCGCGGCCCCCAAGGAGCCGCGCACCGACGGTCGGGGAGCATCGGGGAGGCACGGGTGGAGCCCGTAACCCCCCTCCCCAACCCGAAGTTCGGACCTTCGGGTTGGGCTGGGGTGGTCTGGCAGGTGCAGTCGGGCCGATGTATGATCTCGAGGTCGGCTCGGGAAGGGTACCGTGGTGTTCTCCGTGCCTGTGGTGTGTGTTCTCGGTGCATCATGGTGAGGACACCCTTCGGGCGGCGGAGGGCCTCATGTTCTCAGGGATGTCCGTCTGGCCCAGGCCAGGGACCTCCTCCTCCTTCTCGTCCTCCTCCTCCTCCTCCTCCTCCTCCTCCTCCTCCGCCTCCTCCTCCTCCTCCTCCTCCTCGTCCTCCTCGTCCTCCTCCTGCTAAGGCCCGAGCCGTCGGGGACAGTTCCTGGCCATATCCTGTCCGAGCCTAGCGTGCCAGCCGCGAATGCCGCGGCCAGCCGCGATTCCGAGGGACGAGCCCGAGGGTGCCTGGCACAGGCGCGCTCGACAGCGGAGAACCGACGACCGCTGGTCGTTGAGAGTCGCTGCAGCTCAGACCCGACTGCTCAGTCATCACTCAGCCCAGCGTCGATGCAGGATAACGGACTCGGGCGGTGCGAAATATTCAGCCACGCGCAGAGGGGGGTGGGTGGAGGGGGGATGGCTTCTTAGAAACACCCCTGCTTCTTAGAAGGCGCGGGCCTTACCTACAGATGTAAGAATGGCGCCTTCTAAGAAGCAGCCTCCTTCTAAGAAGCCCTCCCCCCTCCCTCCACCCCCTTGTGCGCGCCGCCAAAATATGTTGCACTGTCAATTCCTTGGGTTGTCAATTCTGTGCTGCTTGCACGCCGCAGCCGAGTGCCGCCGTGCCCCGCGGTCGTGGACGTGCCCCGCCTCGCCCTCCTGGGTTCTCAGCGTCAGGGTCCCCGGGGTGGAGTCCTCCTTCTCCTCCCTTCCTTCCTCCCTCCCTCCCTCCCTCCCTCCCTCTCCTCCTCCTCCTCCTCTCCTCCTCTCCTCCTCCTCCTCCTCCTTCCCTCCCTCCCTCCCTCCCTCCCTCCCTCCCTCCCAGGGTCCCCAGGGTGGAGTGCATTTCACTGGCCAGCAGATTCCGATGGCATGTGGAGTGGTCCGAGGCCCGTGGCTTCGGCAGCCGCAGCAAGCTCGTCGACAGCCTACCCAACAGCCCCCCGCGCGCCGCGACTCCAGAGGGAGACGTGGGCAGCAGAGACGAGCGCGCCCGAGATCCCCGTCCGTGCACTTCGCAGACGAGGACGAGGAGGGTGGCAATGGCACATCCCCTTTGAACATATTGCCAGCTCTTCCGGCACATGCAGTCTATCATCATCGCTTCCCGCCGCGCCCCAACGAACAAGTTTCAGAGGCCGAAAAGAAGCAGTGCACCAGTCAGGGACGCGCAGAGATGAAGGTCTTGGCGGCGCCCATTCGGATGAAGGAGGCTGCCGGGACACTGGGGAGGAAGAGCGGGAGTGGCACGCTGGGAGCAGCAGAAGGAGCGCCAGCGGGCTGCGTTGCAGCGGTCGCAGGCGCGGTTGGAGTCGCAGGATCAAGCTACTATTCAATCCAAAGTGGCCGAGGTCGATGCACTACAAGTGCAGATATAAGTGTCGGAACAGTGGGTTTGTCGGCATCAACAGGCGCTCGCAGAGATCGAGAGTATGACGCCGTTAGATTAAGAACCCCAAGGCGAGCCCGCGGCCATGGAGACCGACGTTGAGCTTGTTGAGGCGGCAGGAGGCGAAGGTGCTAGCGCGCCGTCGACAGCATTGTGATTGAGAGTACCTCCGACGACGCCGCCGCAGACGTCGCGTGTGCAGCCAGCTCAGATTGCCGACTTGTCCGCGGTTCAGGCTCCGATTTCTTCGCTGTCGAGGAACCTTGTGGCACTTCAGGAGCACATCGATTCCAATGCGAGCAGTCTCGGGACGCAGCTCAGCATGGTAAGTGCGAGGCACGAGGCGCTGCTGGCCACGTCGAGAGCCCCGCCTCGAGGAGTGATCCCGCCGCTTCAGTTCCCTGGCATCGCTCGGACATGTTTTTTTTGTTCTCGGCGAGAACCATCGAGGACCATCCTGGACCATCGAGCAAAAAAAAAAACACGCACGAAATCGAAAAATGCACAGGGAATGGACGTCCGAGCGATGGCAAGGTCCTTGATGCCAGCACGGCCGCCTGCCGCCGTTGCTCCTGCAGCCCGCCTCGGCGGGCAAGCGCCGCCTGCTGCTGCCAGCGCTGCGCCGCGGAGCCTTCGAGGAGCCTCGCAGCAGGAGCCAGGGGAAGCGAGAAGGGGCGGGCCTGCTCCAAAGGCTCGGCAATCCCCCGGCCTTCGGAGAAGTTCCTCTGAGCTTCCCCCGAAGATGCAGAGACGTTTCGGAAGGCGCGCGAGAGGCCCTGAGAAGCCCCGCCGCCTTCTGAGAAGGCCTGCTCCTTCTCGCTTCTCCCCCTCGTTCGCCGCCGATCCAGACTGTTGGCGCCCTGGCCCGCCCGCCAGAGGCGGGGGATGCGGCCGCGTCCTCGGCGGCGGCTGTCCCAGATCCCTCCGCGGGGGGGGGCAGGCGGCGTCTGCTCGGATCTTGGGTGCCCAGCACCGGGCGGGCACCTTGGTGCGGGGTAGCCGTTGCCGTCTCCCCCCGCCCCCCCTGCTTCCCTTCCCCCCCCTTCCTCTTCTCCCCATCGAGGCGCTCTTCCATGCTGGGGCAAATGGTCCGACCGGTTCTTCTGCTCCTCCTGTTCCTCTTCGAGGTCCTCCTCCCTCCCAGCACATCTCCAGGGTTTTCCCCGAAATTCCAGCGCCAACGGTCGGGCCAGGGACGTTTCTTCCAACCATCTCAGCAGCCCTCGGTCACGCCCAGCCTTCAGTCGCCCCCCTGTCCTCCTCCTCCTCCTCCTCCTCCTCCTCCTCCTCCTCCTCCTCCCTTCCTTATCTCCGCCCCCACTCCTCCTCCTCCTCCTCCTCCTCCTTCTCCTCCCTCCATCCTTCTCCTCCTCCTCCTCCTGCTCCTCCTTATCTCCGCCCCCCCTCCTCCTCCTCCTCCTCCTCCTCCTCCTCCTCTCCTCCTCCTCCTCCTCCTCCTTCTCCTCCCTTCCTCCCTCCCTCTCCTCCCTCCCTCCCTCCCTCCCCCTCCTCCTCCCTCCTCCTCCTCCTTCTCCTCCTCCTTTTCCTCATCTCCCCTCCTTTCTCCTCCTCCATCCTCCTCCTCCTCCTCCTCCTCCTCTCCTCCTCCTCCTCCTCCTCCTCCTCCTCTCCTCCTCCTCCCTCCTGCTCCTGCTCCTCCTCCTCCTCCTCCTCCTCCTCCTCCTCCTCCTCCTCTCGGCTCTTCCCTCCATCTTCGAGCCTCATGCCCCAAGAGCTCGATTCGATTCGATTCCTGCATTGTCCCTCCCCTGCTGCTGCTGCTGCTGCTGCTGCTGCTGCTGCTGCTGCTGCTGCTGCTGCTGCTGCTCCGCTCCTCCCCAACGTCCGTCCTTCAGACGCCCCTCCCAGGTGCTCTCCAGAACTCCAGCGGCAACGACAGCGCTGAGAACGCTTCCGCCAGAAACGTCAGCAGCCTCGGCCTCGGTCGTGCCCTGCTTTCGACCGGGCCTCGGCACGGGGACAAAACGGACCAGGATTTGCACGGGATCGACAAAAATGCGATAAGATTGTTAGGTGTCCCGCAGGGTGTGGTTTGTCTTTCTCCTCCGTTGGGCTGCGGATAGAATCGCGCCTTACTGTCTGGCCCAGAGAGTCACCCTGCTGCTCCAAGGGGGCGACGCGCGCGCGAAGTTAGATGACCCAGGTTTCTCGAGCAGCGCCTGCGTTCATTCTGACTGCCCTGCCGTGGCGAGGCTTCGGCTGGTCGCGGCCAGCCCCGGCTGACAGCGACCAGGCGTCTGCCCCTGGCGTGGCGGCAGGTCGGTCGACCGTGACCAGCTCCGACGAGCTCCGTGCTTTGGTGCAGGCCAGCCACAACTGGGGGAGCTGTGGTCCTTACCCCCCTGGGGGACCCATCGATTTCGACAAACCCTCTCGAGGGATCGTCGACGCGATGGGTTCCCCCAGGGGAGTAAGGACCACAGCTCCCCCAGTCATGGCTGATCGGTGGTGTGGCGCGAGAGAGAGAGCTTGATTGCAAGGCGGAACAGGTGACACAGGACAGGTGAAGCCCTGATGGTCCAGGCAGCTTGGGCGAGAGACAGCTTCCTCGGGCCCGCTTGCACCTCGCGACCTTCGTGCCCAACATCAGCTTTTAGCACAATCTGTGAGAGATCGGCCTGCAGGGGACTCAGAGGGCAGAGAATAGAACATAATCCTCTTCCTCCCCTTTCTCCTCTTCCTCGTCGTCCCTCATCTCGCTGTTGCTGCTGCTGACCCCTCCTCTTCCTCGTCCTCTTCGTCGTTACCGCCGCCGTCCTCGTCCTCGTCGTCCTCCTCCCCGATCGGCGATCGATTGGGAGGCGTCCTGGCGACCGACTCATCCGCCGCCTTGGCGCCGTCCCCTCCGCGCAGCACCGATCAGGTCTTTTGGCTGGTTGGGCCGCAGGGTCACGACTGCGATCAGCATGGAAGAAAAAAGGTTCGAAGGGTTTTCGTTGTTTTCGCATCCTTCCCGCGCCACATGGCCGTCAAACAACGACTTGGGATGAAAAGCTGGCCTGCGATCCGTTTCCACCAGGTCCTCTTTTCCTCATGCCAAACCTCCGAGGTACCAATTCCTCGGGGCACCCCACCAACGCTTCCAACGGCAAGTCTGGCGGCCAACACGGCAAAAGGCGCGACCGTCGGAAGCGCCATTTGGCCCTCTTTTCCTATTCTGTCGCACTCATACTGAATCATACTTTGACTCCCAGTCTTGCCCCCGTTCAGTGTTGCTTCTGCTCCAAGTTCTCCTCCTCCTCCTTTCCATGCTGCAAGTCGACTATTATCGAATTGCGCTGCTGCGCGATTCCGCCAACGCGCTCTGGTGGGTCAGTGGGGAGGGGGAAAGGTCCACGGAGCCGCTTTTCTCCAAGTTCCGTATTTGACAACTTGCTGCTTGGAGTGCAAAAGGCGCAGGGATTTGGCCGCAAACGTTAGCGCATGTGGGGCTCGATGCGTCGGGGGGACTTGTTTACTGGCTCGCAAGTGGCAAAGGGCCCGACGCACACCAGCCGCTGCAAGATAATAGTATGACCCATGCTATAAAAATAATGTTGGTGATGCTGATGCTGCT